TATGAATAGTAGTAAATTCATTACTGGACTTGTGGCCGGGGTAGCTCTATGAGTATGGCGCTGGCTCATTAACCAAGGACTCCAGGTTTCGATCCCGGTTGAGTTCCCTTAGTCAGAGGTGCACGACGGATGACCTGATAGGGTACCTGATCTAGTTGTTTGGCGTGCACTTAATAAAAACCAACATTGACTGTTGGAATTCAATTATGTCGCGGTCAAACTTTCACTCATAGCATACATGGCATTTACTCGTCTCCATTAGCCAGCGTGGAACGGAGCAGTAAGACGCTAATTCTAGTTTTACTTCAGTAATTCTGGGGACAGGGGTGGATGGCCGAATGGTTAGCGCGTGCGCGTTGTATCATATGGTTTCTCATTGAGTCAACTGGCTTGATTTTGATTACCCGTACGTGAGAAGGAGTATGGTTGCCTGTCCAACCTCGCGGATTTTCTCCAAGTTCTTCGGTTTCCTCCCACTGCTAAAGATCCTTACGCGCAAGTGAATTAGTGCCGAAATGACCTGGTTTGTGTCGAGTGGACGTTAACCCCATTTCTCGCACACTTTCCTCATTAATTCAACAATAATTCATATTAAAATATTATTTATTACAACTCACATATGGATGACATCTGCCTTATCAATGATAGGAAAACTATCGATATCAGCAGCCTATGCCACCATACATATCTTTAGTGCAGAACTGTTTCCAATAGTTCTCAGAAACTCAGCTTTAGGAAGTAGTTCTACCTGTTCACATTTTGGGGGAATGCTATATGCTATATTGCTGATCTAGTAAGTATTAATATAACACACAATATTAATAACAACATTAACAATTATTTGTCTCTAAGGTATAAATGCCATATTTAAAGATAATCATATCGTTAGGTACATTAACAAAGTCCCACCACACTCCGCAAAGTCCAACAATACTTCACACATCAAAGTGTGATTTAGACTACAGTCTCAATGGTATATGCCATATATTTTAAAGATAATGATGTCGTTAGGTACTTTAACAAAGTCCAACCACACTCCTCCAATCAAAGTGTGATTTAGACTACAGTCTCAATGGTATAAATGCCATATATTTTAAAGATAATGATGTCGTTAGGTACTTTAACAAAGTCCAACCACACTCCTCCAATCAAAGTGTGATTTAGACTACAGTTTCAATGGTATAAATGCCATATATTTTAAAGATAATGATGTCGTTAGGTACTTTAACAAAGTCCAACCACACTCCACCAATCAAAGTGTGATTCAGACTACAGTCTCGATGGTATAAATGCCATATATTTTAAAGATAATGATGTCGTTAGGTACTTTAACAAAATCCCACCTTACTCCAAAGTGTGATTTAGACTACAGTCTCAATGGTATAAATGCCATATATTTTAAAGATAATGATGTCGTTAGGTACTTTAACAAAATCCCACCATACTCCAAAGTGTGATTCAGACTACAGTCTCAATGGTATAAATGCCATATATTTTAAAGATAATGATGTCGTTAGGTACTTTAACAAAATCCCACCTTACTCCAAAGTGTGATTTAGACTACAGTCTCAATGGTATAAATGCCATATATTTTAAAGATAATGATGTCGTTAGGTACTTTAACAAAATCCCACCATACTCCAAAGTGCGATATAGGCTGAAGCCAGACTAGTTATTAGGAGATGGGAACAATGAGTCCTTGACCTGATGTGTGTTATATACTATTCAAAAAAAGTAGGGGATATTTGATTTTGGGGGCATAATACTAAAATATGCAAATGACTACGAAAAAAGTCACTATAGAACCTAACAGAAGAAACATTTCCAGTTGCATGTGACGCCCAAACGCACCAATAGCTACCGCATGGAATGCAGGTGATGCTTGGGATCATCATGGGGGTCCAACCCAAGATTTGCACGACTCTGACTTTGAATGTTACAGTCATTGTGGCATTGAATTCCAGGGTGGAAACATCAGTTTAATTGTTTTAGTGACCAGAAAACAAATTTTGATATGCGTCGGCTTACCCAAAATGAAAGGTTACGTGCCCTTGGCATGCTACAGATCGGCACAACACAGGCGGTTGTGGCGCGGACGATGAATGTTTCTCAGTCTGTCATAAGCAGGCTATGGTCCAGATACCGTGATACACAATCTGTACAGGACAGACCACGCTCAGGTCGACCAAGGGCGACAACTCAAGCCCAGGATCGATTTATCCGTACCTTGGCCTTGAGAAATCGTGTCATCACAGCAAATCAGATCAGCGCTCGTCTTCAAACAGACACTGGTGTGAGAGTGAGTGGCCAGACGATTCGGAATCGACTGCATAGGGGTCACCTTCGCGCCCGACGTCCTCGCGTGATCCCTTGTTTGAGAGATCATCACATTCAGGCAAGACGTCGTTGGTGTAGGGATCGTCAACACTGGGATAATCGACGCTGGATCAATGTGATGTTTTCAGATGAGTCAAGGTTCACTGTTGATTTTTTGGACAGACGTAGGAGGGTGTGGCGTCGTCGAAACGAGCGCTTCCAAGACGTTAACGTCATCAGACATGATCGATTTGGGGGTGGTTCTGTTATGGTGTGGGGAGGCATCACTGTTGCTGGAAGAACGGCTTTACATGTTGTTGCAGGGCGTGTTACAGGCCAGTACTACCGGGACAACATCTTGGCAGTCCATGTTGTGCCGTTCGCACGACGTCATGGCCGCCGTTTCATCTTCCAGGATGACAACGCAAGATGTCACAGGGCCAGGATCGTTACAGGTTACCTCCAACAACAGAACATCACCACATTACCTTGGCCAGCACTGAGTCCCGACCTCTCCCCCATCGAGCATGTCTGGGACATGCTTGGACAGAGGTTACGTCAACGTCAACAACGTCCTGCCAATGTCCAAGAACTTGCTGCTGCGTTGCAACAGGAATGGGACAATCTGGACCAAAATGACCTTAGACGTCTCATTAGGAGTATGCCACGTCGGATCAATGCTTGTTTGGCAAACAGAGGAGGATTTACCCGTTACTGACTTGGTTGTGATGCTGTGGTAACTTTGCTGTTTGACCCCGGGTATCATTTTACCCTTATAATGGTCAGTCTGTGCCTTACTTAGTATAACGATCATTTGGAATAAATCGATGAATGTGAACTTCATTTCATTTTGTCATTTGTTTCTTCGTCAGTTTCATTAGGTGACTTTAATAACACTTAAAAATCAAATATCCCCTACTTTTTTTGAATAGTATATATTCCGCGTGTTATACACCATCTCTGTTGTTTTGTGTTACTGAGTTATATTTTGGCGTGAATTCCCCATTCTTTGTCAATAAAATGATCACATCCAGAACGAATTCTGTGTCACCCAATCAGTGTTTGTATGAAGGGACGTATAGGCTATACATATCTTCATCAACGTCGCTCATTAAGAAAAATATTCAATGACACAACCTCACTAAATTCAACTGCAATTGGACACAGGCACAAAGGGAGGTCTGTGGTGAAAAGCACCACAAACCCAAAACACTCTATCAAAATGATTCTAAGACGAAAATTTTGTGGAATGTGGTACCACACAGGCACATAGGGAGATCTGAGAAGAAATTTTTGAAAAGATTGATATTTTTTTTCTAAGTCCAATATCTTGTGGAACTCTTGTGGTGAAAAACACCACAGACCCAAAACACTTAATTTTTTTTCCAACTAAATGATTGATTGGAAAATACGATGTATTACAAATGGTACTTCATACAAAATAATTTGGCCGACAAAAATTATATTTATGTAACAAATCCTATACTTATTTTTCTAATATACATGAATAATAATTGATCAAACATTTAGAAATAAGCCGTTTTGGTAACGTTCACCATCACTTGACAACAGAAGCTATTATAACTTCCGTTTTTAACAGTTCTGTTTTCATCAATCTTTAGATAGTCCAGCAGGATTTTCTGCATCAGTTGTTTTACCTTCAAACAGGAATGGTTGCTTGTATTAGAAAGTTCATGAAAGATTTATTTTTGTTAATAGATATATTTTTCGATAACAACAAGGTTGTGTAACTTTACCTTCCCCTTAATGACAATGTTTTGTAGCAAATACAGATCACGTTCTGTACACAATTAACCGTTGACAAAGGTTCTACCCTTGACCAGTGGCGGTTCAACTGTTTGTGATATATCGGTAATCAATAAATCCCACAATCGCAGACTTGCATGTTGTAGAGTCCGAATGATTTCTTACCAAACTCATTCTGCTGTAAACCTACTATAAACAATAATACGTGAACCACGTGCGTTTTACGATCCTCAAAGTTTTGGGGTATAGGTTCAATGCGGCGGGAATATTCATTCACTTTGATTAGGGAGCGCTTGATGTATATGTTGATAAGCTTAATGGTGAGCGGAAATGGAAAAGGTGAGAGACTTAAACGTACAACAGTTTCTGAGATAAAAAAAAACCCACGTAAAAGGGGCGTAGGCATTGGATCGTCTTTTAAATGCAATAAATTATTCTGCGACTTTGCATCCGTTGCAAGGTACAGCGACAAACAAGTCACGTAACACAAAAAATGACTTATTTTAATATATTTTTTATAGCTTGGGGTATTTCCTCGCGAATACTATGTTTTGAGAAGAAGTTGAAGCATCATTTTAATAGATTAATTAGTTTGAATATGTTTTAGTTCAATTATATCGTCAAATCACCCACTTTGTACGCGGGAAGGTATCTTTAAGTTTACATTACTGAATGCAATTTACTGAAAACAAATGACACGTGATTTGTAGGGCAGTTAAAACACTTCCCGGTCAGGTCAACGAATATGTTATTTCTAAAGTTTTAATATATTTTAATTGGCTATAGTGTTAAATTCGGGTGACACAGACATTTTAATTGTGCTACGAATATGTCAGTTCTGAAGTTTTTATATATTTTAATTCGTTACAGTGATATAGTCGGGCGATACAGACATTTTAATTGTCCCTCGACTTTGAATAACCAGCTACATTACTTCTTTCTCTTTTAATATTTTGAGAATAGTGATGCTAGGCGATTATATGATGATAACGAAATTGGTTTACTGTTTCTGTCTCTTTCCACATTTTATACAGTCTGGTAGGTAAAACATTATTTACTCATAACACGTGATCAACTCACTGGTTAATAAACCAGTTAAATCATAATTTACTCATAACACAGGTTATACAGTCTATTGGTAAAGAAAGTACATTGAATTCTACCGTTGACAAAGGTTCTACCCTTGACCAGTGGCGGTTCAACTGTTTGTGATATATCGGTAATCAATAAATCCCACAATCGCAGACTTGCATGTTGTAGAGTCCGAATGATTTCTTACCAAACTCATTCTGCTGTAAACCTACTATAAACAATAACACTTGAACCACGTGCGTTTTACGATCCTCAAAGTTTTAGGGTATAGGGTCAATGCGGCGGGAATATTCATTCACTTTGATTCCCACACTCGTGATTAGACGACAGATGGTATCTGGTCAGCTCTATCTCGACGATCAGTCCCCGAAATAGTACCATGCTGCATTTTTGGCAGTCTATTTCTTAAAATTTCAAGCCGAAAATATTCATTCATTTCGATGCACCTATTCTGTTCCTTTGACACCTGGTCGGATACGGATAAACTAGTGAGCAGGCGACAGTCGGTATCTGGTCAGCTCAATAGGTGTTTTGGATCTCCGCCACCTTGGCACAGATTATAAATGAAATGAAATGAAATGGGGTTTAACGTCCTACTGTCCTGCTCCGAACTGGGCTAACTAATGAAGACGGGCTTACGCCATACATCGTGCTACGGCCCACTCTTATATCGAATTCCAAATGCCAGGGGATCTTTTACGTGCACGCCAATGAGTACACGGGACCTCGGTTTTTCGCCCCATCCGAACGACTAGACAGCTTTCCTTGTCAGATCTACTGCTAACACGTGGTATACTGTCTGGATAGTGAAACCGTCTAATTATCATCCTCGGTATCCCCAGTGTTTTCATTCCGTTCTACTCCATTATACTCTGGGTTAATCTATGGGGGAGACACGTTTTCAAATTAACCCAGGGTATAGTGGAGTAAACGGAATGAAACCACTGGGGATACCGAGGATGTCTAATTATAATCAACCAATATATACTCTGGTCAGTAAAACTCATGCACCCATATAAAGCTAGTTAAATTATAATCGACTTATAACGCAAAGCACGACGTGTTAATGCTAGAGAGACAGTCATAGAACTTTTAAACGATGGTGCTACATTCGGGTTTCAATTTACACGTACCTCATTCCCAGGCAATTTTCTTCTAGACACACGATAGTCTCCTAGTCGATATTAGGGGTACATTATCGCCGTATATGATACATTTTTTTACAATATTCCTTAAATTAGAGTCTACGATTAACGTGACTGGGGTTACCTATTTATCTCTGTTAATTTGGCATTGATGTACCTTTCAGAAACTAAAGTCAGTACAGCTTGTTTGGGGTTTCCAGGTATAGGATGTACTGACCATGCACTCAGCTGTACAGCATCAACAGTTATATCAATAACTAATATAACGTTTGGATATAGACGAGGATGTAGTATTAGTGGTGTATCTAGCTGTCGTGATAAAACATGTTGTAGAGAACAGACTGGAGATTGTTTTACACCTTACAATCAAATTCTTCTATCAGTATTGCAACAAGCCTGTAATAGTAGATCCAGTTGTACTCTTAATAGAAATAATGGCTTGAATGAAAGATCTCCATCTTGTTTTAATGGTATTTCTGCATTTCATTCTTACAGCAAGATAGAATATCAGTGCAGTGCCATAGGTAAGTGTATTAGTAACTAATATAACGTTTGGATATAGACTAGGATGTAATAGTAGTAGTAGTAGTGTAGCTATATGTTTTGGAACAATGTGTGCCACACCTTTAAGCCAAACTCAACAGATCTGTAGTGGGAAATCAACCCGTACTATTTACATAAATAATGGATTTGTAAGAAACATCTAGATTCTGTGGTGGGCTTACTATGCGACATTCCAAAATCAAGATAGAATATGGTTGTAGTGCTATGGGTAAGGGTATTAGTAGCCATCTTGATTGGCAGCTCTAGTCCGAACCACGACACTGACATTGTTTATTGTAATTACATTGTCATTTCGTTCTTTGACATACAGCCAATTACAATGCCATATATTCCTGGCATTAGGTATTGCTTTAAAGTGACACAATTACATTGATCTGTTTAGTCACAGTCAAGTTAAATGTAAGCGAATTTATTTACTCGTATTATGTTCGTAATTGACTATTGTCTGTTTTCACTGTTCAGATGGTTTCGGTTTGGTGTTTTTTACATGTCCATCGGCTATGACTTCCTATATGTATCACATAGACGATACACTCCCATAAATTACCGTGTTATACAAATAACCCGAATTGAAAGTAAAACTCTACTAGTTTTACCTTTTCGCTGCTCGCTGAATGGGACAAAAGACAGTATACATAGCACCAATTGGTAATGCTTTGGTTAAGACAAAATATCTCCAAATCTAATGAAAATGTGTTGATGAAATTTTCAGGAATCTTAGTAATGTATAATTTGATCTTGTATCTAATTTTGATGTCGATAGTTTGATTTGTCGCGTCAGACTTTTGCTCTGCTCACCTGCACCAGGTCCATTTACCAGAAGAATTATTACGAAACCAACACGTTTCTTCATTCGAATATGTAGTCAAATGTACTTACCAGTCCGTGTCACTTCCAACTAGCTGCAATATCGGAGTCAAAATCTTCATATTCTGAGCCCGAATCTTATAGAATAGTTTCCAGAGCCGAAATACGTTTTCTTGATGCCATTATGACTTGATGCTATTGATCAAAATAACCCAAATATATCAATACAAACTTTGTTTCTCACGCTTATAAAAAAAACTTTAGGCATTTATGGGTTTGATGTCCGTGTCCATTTTTAGTAACATTTCTCTTGCGTTGTACGAAATGAGATTATATGTCCTAAATTATTTTGTCGATTAAAGCCGTCTACCGCAGAGACCCGTCTAGTCGGTCATATCTGCAGTATTCGAAATGGAGTCGCCACTCAAAAACACCATAGCACATAGTAATTGTTGATCATAAATGATTAGGTGTGTTTGGTTCATTACTTTTCTCCTGATAGTCTATATACGTGTATTAAAGTATGGTCGAATGGGAAATAAACCCCCTCTAAATTATCAAGGCAAATTACTGCGTATAAATATTACAGTGTGCATTTTTTTATATTTGTGCTCAATGAACTTCCTCAACTTAAATCTTTATTGGCATATATCTTCAAGAAATTTTGAAAACATGACTATCACGCCATTTTCAAACATCATCTTTTATGTAAACACATTTCTGAAATACAACAAATAGTAGAAAACCAGTCATAAATTAATTAAAACAGTTTTCAGGTATTCAAATACATTCATAACTAGGCAGTGACAGTTGTAGCACCATGGGCCTTTGTGTCTGACGTGGAGAGTGAGTATCGCAGGACGGTCGCCACATCTTACATACGACCCATGCATTTTTTCTTACTACATATTTCTGTAGCCTTGTGATCGTCTAGAATTAGTCTCCAGCTGTCTTCTGCTTCACGTTGTGTATTTACTTCTTACTGTTTTCTCTTAAAAGACGTTTGGCTTCCTAGATTAACAATGCAACAGTAAAGTTCGCTTATACATTTTATATATCAGCTGCTTAAATGGATACAAGCATAATAGATAACAATACTAGCTAAAGCCATTTCTCCACCCTAGCCAGCCTCGCGGTTGTCTAGGAACTCAGATGGAACCTCTCTGGAAGTCTGCTTGAAAGTTTCAAATATATATCTTATATAGCACTCACGTATATCACGCATAACAGAGAGTGTTCATGGCTCTGAACTTGTGTAATTAACAAAATGATTGGTTAAATTAAACCCAATGACGCAATAGTACTTTTCCTTGCACATGTTCTCTCTGTGGTATTTTATAGACACATGTTTTCGCTAAATAACTCTTTTTTATATAACAATATGTCATTTATACCCTAAGTTGATTTAATTGGACGTTGAAGTGGACGGTCGTGTAAACTAGAGCGGTCAAAGTTAATGAAGTGTGACGAATTTCCTTTATAAATTATGTTGTAAATCTACCAATGTGACTGTGGACATATTTTCTCTTCGATAAATAATACTTGAAGTACTTGGATAATACTTACTATGGATGGCGGAATAGATGTTTGGAGAATGCAAATAGGACTTTATTTTCATAAAATGGTGGCAACGAAGCATAGAACAAAGTTTCTTAGCACAGGTACTTTCTCTCTTTCTACAACATTAATTTTGACAATACTGCTAATCCTTGCAGGGGATGTAGAAACAAACCCAGGCCCCCAAACCAGACAAGGACAAATCTCAACCACTGGACAGGTTGTCTATCCCCCACAACAACCGAATAAAAACGTGGAGAGTCATGAGATAAGTGAACTGACAATATTGATCCAATCTTTAAAATCTGATATTTCGGCGTTAAGAAATGAAGTGAAAGACATAAAGACAGAAATGAAGGAACTTAATATTAAGGAAGAAGTCTCAAAAATTAGGGACGATGTAACTAGTTTGATTTCAGAAAACGAGGACATTAGAATTCAGTTAGATAATATTGAAAATAGGTCACGACAAAAGAACATAATAATATACGGCGTCACAGAAAGTGATCACCCCGAAGACAGTGAACAAATAGTAAGAGATCTGCTCAGTAATCTCAAAATAGACGGTGCTCACGACAAAAGAGCTCTCTGTATTGAACGTGTTCATCGAATCGGAACTAAGAAAACACCAGCCATTAGGCCAAGACCGTTAATCCTTGTCATGTCTAGCCTCAAAGATAAAGAACTCGTCATAAGTACTGCTCGAAAAGAGTTCAAAAAACCCGAGTCGGAAATTAGTGTGTCTGATGATTATACTGAGCGCATTAGAAATATTCGTAAAACACTAGTCCCGCATCTCATAAAAGCAAAAACGGCGGGGAAAAAAGCTTTCCTTCGATATGATAAATTAATTATTGACAAAGATACCTATGAAATTGACCTGTCGACAAACGAACTAATAAAATCTAAAAAAAGAAAATAGCAACCAAGTAAGTGTCAAATCGAATATACCCATACTCTACCGCAATATGTATACACAGACACAATCTCTATCTTCACTTGGAATTGCCAAAGCTTTTCGCGCCACATAGACAACGGTGAACTCAAACATAAATTAGGCAATTATGACATTGTTGGGCTTTGTGAGACATGGTTGTATAAAGATAATCAGGATGTTCTTTCATACTTACAAACACATCAATGTTTTTCCTCATATAGGCAGAAAGGTAAACACGGAGGCCTGCTTGTGTATATATCCCTATCTATAAACGCCGGCATAACTCGAATCTATGCCAGCTTCCCAGATACTATTATCATCAAACTGGACCATCAATTTTTTGGGTTCAAAATGGACGTTATTGTTATCTTTATATATATCTCACCCGAAAACTCTAAATACTACCACGGTAAAGACTCCTCAACACTTGAATCATTAGAGGAAATCCTAATCCTATGCCAGTCCGACTTCCCACAGTGTTCCATATTACTTGCTGGAGATTTAAATTGCAGGACTGGACAACTAGATGACTTTACCTATGATGACTCTTTGAAATATATACAAGACACCAATGACGTTTATGAGCAAGACACCTTCAGTACACCTCGAAAAAACCTGGACAAACAAGAAAACAACTTTGGGCGAGAATTTATCAGGTTGTGTAAGGTGTTTGGTATTCACATATTGAATGGACGTTTTGCTAGTGACCCTAAAGGTGACCTTACGTGTTTGGCTAATAATGGTCATAGTGTAGTTGACTATATGGTGGCCTCCACAGATCTTTTTCCACAAATAAGAGACTTTAAGGTTGGGCAATTTGATGACTCTGATCACTTTCCAATTCAGTGTGAAATAAAGGCGAACATCGATCATGTACAAAACACAACAAATGAATGTGATTCACAGACCCATGAGCGGCATATATTCAAATGGAATCCATTACACAAAAATGACTTTATAAATACTATCTCAGACGATTACTCCTGCAATATTCTTGGTGATCTCAAAAACGCCTTGACACTTGACGTTAATGTTTCTGTTGAACAGCTCAGTCATGTCCTTGTTAGAGCAGCTAAACCAATGTTCAAAGTGTGTCGTCCATATCGTCGTCTCTATACCCAACCCCCTTGGTTCGATCAAAATTGTGAACTTCTAAAACAATCAAAATCCAAATCTCTAAATGTCTACAGAACTACTAAACGTGATATTGACCTCAACAACTACAAATTAAAAAAAAAGAGTTCAAAAGTCTGTGTGCCTCGAAAAAGAATGAATACGGTCGACAACTAAATTGTAATTTGGAAAGTGCGATACCGAACCCGCAAATATTTTGGGGAAAAGTAAAATCCCTTCTACGGAGAACACCAGCCAATCCAAAAATCTGTTGCGATGAATGGATAGCATATTTTCGTGATCTTTTGAACTCTAACAGCCCATTAACCGACCACTGGTACCAAGAGTCTTTATCATCACATGATGATCATTGTGATATTTGTGAAAGTGATACTCCGGAAGAATTAAATAAACCCATCACAGAATTCGAAGTTTCTCAGGCAATTAAGAGTGTCCGCAATAATAAGTCACCTGGCATCGATGGACTATGTAATGAACTGATCAAAGAGAGTGAGGCCACCATAAAAGAGAGTGAGGCCACCATAAAGTCAGCCCTTTGTAATATATTTAACGCAATTCTGAACAGCGGGATCTTCCCTGAGAAATGGGGCATGGCCATTATAAGTCCTATACACAAAAAAGGTTGTGTGGACAATGTCGATAACTACAGGGGAATCTCCTTGCTGTCCAGTTTGTGTAAAATATTTACAAAAGTATTAAACAACAGATTACTATCCTGGTGTAATTTGAATAATATTATTTATGAGTATCAAGCTGGATTCCGCCAAAAATACTCTACTGTCGATAATATATTCTCCTTACAAGGTATTATAAGGAAATATCTATCGAGAAAAGGGGGGCGAATATATCTGCTATTTGTGGACTTCCACAAAGCGTTTGATTCCGTCCAGCATGACTTGCTCTGGGTCAGCATGATGGAAGCAGGTATCCATGGAAAATTCATCAACATCATCAGAAACATGTATTCCAAGTGTAAATCTTGTGTTGCTACACCACTGGGACTAACTGACTTCTTTGCATGTAATACGGGTACCAGACAAGGCTGTATATTAAGCCCGTTATTATTTTCGCTCTTCATAAATCAATATGTCAGTGAGTTGCAAAATAAGAAATGTAATGGTATCTTTGTATCAAATGTATTTCCCAATGTATTCTCTTTGCTATTTGCTGATGACATCGGAAATATGGCCGATACTGTGTTTAATCTACAACACCAAATTAACTGCCTAGCATCATTTTGTGAGAAATATGGAATGTCCATCAACACCCAAAAAACCAAGATACTTGTATTTAGAAACGGTGGTCCACTGAGATCATATGAAAAATGGAGTTACAATAATGTCCCAATAGATACTGTTTCTTTCTACAAATATCTAGAGGCTGTGTTCTCAACAACACTTAAATGGTCGAAAACAAAAGAAGTTCAGATTGTACAATCCGAGAAAGTTATTAATATGATGAAATGTATAGACAAAAAGTGTCAAGGTATTAATCTTAGTTGTGCTGTACAAATATTTGATAAAATGATCCTTCCAATTCTATTGTATGGCTCCGAGATATGGGGACATTCTTTTTGTACCAAGATAGAAAATGTCCATTTAAAATTCTTCAAATATGTATTAAAACTGCCTCCTCATACTAGTAACTCTGCTGTCTTGGGTGAACTCGGGAGATCCTACCTTTTTGTTAATTCTGCAAATAGATGTATCAGATATTGGGTTAAACTTGTATGCATGCCAGACCATAGAATTCCCAAACAAACGTATGTAATGCTACATAACTTGGATATGAATGGTAGAAAAACATGGGCAAGCGATGTTAAAAATCTATTATTTAGGTATGGTTTTGGTATAGTATGGATTTCCCAAACAATAGGAAATTGTGCTGATTTTATCTACCTATTCACGCAGAGAATCCGTGAATGTTGTGCTCAAGAATGGCACTATTCCTTACATGAAAACTCAAGGCTTGTCTACTATAGCCAATTCAAAAGTATGCTTGGTCTAGAACCGTATTTGTTGTCAACTTATGACAAGAAATTTAAGCGCGCGCTCATTAAATTTCGTTGTGGATCATACCTGTTTATGAACATGCTTTGTAAATGGCGTAAATTACCAGAGGAGTACAAAATATGTAGTCTATGTGATCTGCATGAGTGCGAAGATGAGTGTCACTTTCTACTAAGATGCTCGGCATACGATAGCCTTAGATCAAAATATATCCACGTAGATAATAAGTATGATACAAAGTACCAGTTTATTAAGCTAATGTCCAATAATGAACAAACTGTCGTTATAAATATCTCAAAATTTATATATTTTGCAATTAAAATACGTAAAACATTATCAACTTCTGCATAAATCTTGTATACAGTTTGTCAATTATCTCGTGAAAATGTTCATTTTCATATTCAAATTGTAGATATTATTCCTTTCTTTACTAACCACATTGTCATAGGTATAGCTATTTATACACTATTATAACATTGTAAATAGTAGTCACTTTCTACACTAAACTGTTCCCTACCTTTACTTATGTACCACTCTTTTTATTGTATTTTTTTTTTTCATAAATCTATAAAGTGTTATTGAATGATTAAAATTGAATTAAGTGTACAGAACTTTCACTCAAATATGCTAACTTTGTACTATGGCCGTAAGGCTTCAATACATGAATAAAGATTATTATTATTATTATATATGTGAATATGTGTGAAACTATTAATTTGCCAAATATATTAATTAAAGAAATATAAAGTCATATTTTTTCTATATTCTTTGTCTATAAATTTAAAAACAATGTCTCCACGACTATATTGCTAAACAATATAGGCAAATTTGTTTTCTTTTTTGGTAGGCTAGTTTCTCTCACCAATTTTTACTTAGTCGGTGGAATTTATTTTTAAATCACGCTTTGACCAAAGTCTGACTAACATGATCTACCTAATAACAAGTTATTAGTCACAAGAGTCGAAAATAGCAGCTGAAATACGGGCCTAATCATTATGCCAAAATTGACAGTTGACAACACGTCAGAACAGTATACATAGCAACCACTAGACTTTTACGCTAGACATCACTGTCATAGTTTTATAGCGTATTTTACTGCAATTGTGTGTACAAGAACTAGCTACAACATTGAGGTAACAGTCTGCAAATAAAATATTAAAGGCTAAAAAATTGCATGAAACTCCCGCAGCGAAATCATCTGTGTTTCTTTTAGTCGCGGATAGCAGGCCGGGATCGTAATGAGAGAGAGAAATGGGGTTTAACGTCCACTCGACTCAAACTAGGTCATTTCGGGACTAACATATGGTTTAATTTTATTTCAATAATTTGCTTGCGCGTAGGGGTCTTTAGCAGTGGGAGGAAACCGGAGGACCCGGAGAAAACCCACGAATTTGGACAGGCGATCCCACCGGGGATTCGGAACCACGCCAGTTGCCTCAATGACAGGATTTATGATACACCCCCCCCCCCCGGAATCGTAATAAAACTAATTTCCTGTCTTTTTATTAAAAATCCTCAACGTTAATTATTTTTTGTCGATATCCGCATAACATTTTCTTTTTTGATTAATTTACCAGGCATTTTAAATTTGCAAGAAGACAAGGACGGTATAATTCTATTGAGAATAATTTGACAAATAAACGCAAGCACGTGGCCAAATAACGACTTTTTTAAAATGTGTAAAATGTTTCCTGAGTAATTCCGAAGAAAATCCCTAAAAATTTGAGCTACAATATCGATAAACACTTTCTCGTTTCGTATTTATCTGGGGTTTATTCCCCATTTAACAATGCTGTCGTGTCTCGTGCCCTAATGATTCAGGCATGGTTAAATGGACAATAAACTCCCTCTAAATACGAAACAGGAAGTGTTTATCTCCTAATTATCTGAGAGATAAATTTACCTATTGCAGGTTGTTCTTTTGGCTTTAAATGTTTAAATTATTAAACATACATTATGCAAGAGGTAAATCAGCATATTGTAGATCTTTCTTTAGGCTTCAGATGTTATAGAAATTATTAATTAGACTTTTATTTACACGACAAGCCCAAAATCAACTCTGTAGACACACGGATGGCTTGGATACAGTTTGGATTTAAACAGTCGTCAACTTAAAATTAAATCAATAAATGGCGGGCCAAGCTAACGTTTAACGTTAGTCGCTGATGTCACTATCGGAAACTGGTGATGCAAGGCCTGTCAAGCGAGGTTACCATAGCCATTAAGCATGTTACTTGATAATTGAGAATATGTGGGTCGAGTTATCGCCTGTCAATAAAAAAATCGCCAATTCTCATACACGGTGCAAACACAATCGATGCCTTTTTCTAGTCCAAACTTCCAACAGTGACAAAGTAATTTGACTGAAATGTTCAACATTTTCTTTTTTATCATCTATTTTTGAATTATTATAGCAAGAATGGCCAACTTTTTATAAAACTCTTAACTAATGTATCTTTAAGTAGACATTTTATTAACATGACAATACCATAATCATCTCTCTAGACACTTGCATGGCTCCAATTTTAAGTAGATTAGAACAGTTCGGCCATTTAATGATTTAATTTAAAAATGGGGAAGCGATTATCGTAGTTACGATAATAAACAATTAATGCACACATCTTTAAAGAACTACAAACACTCGTAAATTCGCTTAGAATAAAGCAATTTGAATGAATTACTCAATATATTCATTTTACGTTATCTTTATTTTTAAACTGTTATAGCAAGAGCGACCAGCCCTTTATTTAAATCTTGTATAATGCGTTTTTAATAAAACAAGCAACATCTGGATAATGCTACTTTGATTTTCAATTGATCAGCTACAAAATAAAAAATGGATATTGTAACTTTTACAGGTACAGAAACAGTGCCTGTTGATGGAGTTAAAGAACTAGCTATTGTTAGCGGGTTCTTGGGAGCGGTTATAGTCATCTGTCTTGTCACCATTGCTATATTATTAGTATTCTTTAACGGGTAATTATTGTTATATTAATAAAACTAAATATATTGTTAAACTACTAACACTCAATAGGTAAATGATGTTATACTAGTGTTACTAAATAGGTAAATATTGTTATATAATGAATCTCTTACGAGTAGGAGATTTTATTTATCATCCAATCCTTTCTTACATGCACAAATAAATAAATATAATTCTTTGCTATAGATTTCACTTTTACTGAACCTGATTACATTACAGCGTAGTGATACATCATTTTTGACAGCAATTCAACCAATTAAAAGTCCTTTATACTGACCCAGTTTTTCCATCAAAGACGAGTTGAAGATTTTATTTATCACCCAATCCTTTCTTAAATACACAAATAAATAAATATAATTCTTATCTATAGATTTCACTTTTACTGAACCTGATTACATTACGGCGTAGTGATACATCATTTTTTGACAGCAATTCAACCATTACTGCCCCAGCGTTTCCATCAAAGTCAATTAAATAAAAATGGTTCCTTTTTAATAAGAAAGAAATTACTTTTTATAAAAAATGAACTGTTCTTTGAAAATAAAAATGTAGTTCCTTTTTGATTGACCAGTCAAATTCATGTAAAGCGATATATCACAGTAGATTTTGAAATTTATCACAGAAGCGACATCTACTGTAGAATATATTATTGGGTGATACAATATTAATACTAACTAGTTAATTATTGGTAATACTAAATAGGTAAATATTGTTATAATAGCTATAACAAATATTTAAATATTGTTATATTAGTTGTTTTTTTTTTTTAAAGTACGTAAATAATAAATACGTGAACATTAGTTTTTATTTCTAGGGCCTAATATACTTTACGAGTTTACGGTATTAAAAATAATAAACTACCGTATTGATTCTCAGCATTCGATCAACAAACTCCATAATATTAATAATGTCTTGCATATCATTCTACTTGTAGGTGAGATGGGGGATGGCTGAATGGTTAGTACGTGCGTGCTGTATCATAAGGTCTAATATTGAGTCAACTGGCTTGGTTTCGAATCCCCGGTTGTACGTGTCAAGGAGTAGGGTTGCCTGTCCAACCTCATGGGTTGAAAGCGCGAGAATTGGTATTCGCGACGATCGAATCTGATAGGATCACAAGTTGGGCTTGTACCCAATCGAAATTAGTGCCGCGATATGCAGGTATTACGTGAAGGCCTTGATAAGATGTACGTAGTTAAAGCCAGATCACGCCTTCTATTGAAGATGACAGTTAACGTAATTTATGTTTTCTCCAGTTGTCCCCCTTGATTAGTCGGCACACACTTTAATTTCTAAAGATGATTACCCAACTACATGAACCTGGTCATGCCATTCTCGTAAGCCCAGTCGGGGAAAAACAGTAGGATGTTAAACATCATTTATTGTCATTTCAATAATAACTTTATTTTCTAACGTTCATTAGCCTACTCTACTACATGAACCTGGTCATGTAATTCTAATAAACGCTAATCAATTATTAAAGAATTCGAAATGTATACTTACAGGAGGTTGTCTAAACTGAATTCAAAGTCGCGCCAAAATGATCACAAATATGACCCAGCAATAACCAGATCTAGAGACGAATCACCAGCTGTGTACAATTCTTTAAACACCCGACAACAGAATGGTGGTCAACAACAGAATAATACAAATGGACAAACACGCAGTTCAAACAACAGTCAACATACAACTATAGACGGTGGAGATGTACAAATCAACCAGAACAACCAGCATTACGAACACCAATATGACGCGGCGCCAGTAGGGATCGAAGATCAAACAAATGTTGTTTATGATCCTTTAAATACACGAGAACAAATTGGTTTTTATAATATGGGTAACATCAGCACGGTTAGCACTTGAATAAAACCGTTCAGTGATGGTTGGGGTGGTAGTATATTCCCCATCATGGATAAATGATGATTCTATAGGCACTTGATTCTATACCTACTGAACACAACAAATGCGGCATATTCACATTTCCTATGATAGCGTTATAATTTAGAACAGTGTATACATTAGTAGTCTAAGTTTGTATATTATAACTTAATCAGTTTCGGAAAGAAAATTATTGGCTATTTTGTTTATTTCCTTTTAAGGACTATAAATTATTTTCTAACAGACCAAACGAAACATAAAATCATCGCCGCTTTGATTAGTTATTCGGAGTAAATAATGAATTGTCGGCGGCCTTATCATTGTTAATTATCAATCAACTAATCATTAATCCGTGAGAAGTGATTACGGATTAGTATTACTCAATGACACGAACGGCTTGTTGATTGATTTACAATGTTTTGATTAACACTCAACGGCTATCTATATACGACCAGATTCAGAATTAAGTTGTTGGTATCCGAGGATCTTTTTATTTTGTGTTTTTAACAATTTTCAAGTGTAAATAATTTAATGAAATCAACCTGTCCATAATATCATGTTCATTGTATTGGACGTTAAATCTTTAATAAACAACAACAACAGTTGTTTTCTGCCACTTCTCAGAGTGAATCGCATATAGACACCCCATAACATTGTCCAAATCTAATTTCTATCGTCTGCTTGAGCCTCGATGCGGCCACGGAACCACAATGCTTTGCACGCGTTGTCTGGGCCAATCAGCAAACGAGTTGTGTTGGAAGCATAGCAACAAGCGATGTGTATTTACATTTTTAGGGGTTTTAAAACCCTTTTGTATTCCTTCAAAATGAATTCATCGGCAATATTTTGGTCATATTTATAAACTAGAGATTCTCCGTTTTACAACGATGCCATGCATTTTGCAAGAGGAATGACAGGTCGCCCCGCTGCGAGCAGAGAAAAATATCTAATTCCACTGAAAATATTCAGAAAAATACAGATTTTAAAATGTTTTATTTCTATTTTGATCTTTTGAGTCGATAGATAGTATATTTATTGACTCATTTTTGTGAAAATCTCAATTTCGATCAAAATCAATATTTTCGCTTATTTTGTCTCTTGTGCAAAATTAATTTTCCCGCATCCGACTCATATTGATGCGGCGAGTCACATTTAGGCTATTAAAGTCAAGAATAGTCTATGTTCTTTACTATCTGAATTATAATATTAAAATGTATATGTAGACAGGTATAAGCTGTCTGTTATTAAACAACTCATTATACTTCCTATACATACATATGAGACACGTGTGATCTATGTTATTCACTATACCACTTACACGAATGTACACACCGTATCGAGAAAGATATACTAGCTATTATATTATTGCACTAATGAATAACATTGACTGAACAGAAATATAACAGTTAATATACCTCCTGGTCAGATACATGAAAATAAGACAGGTAGACTATATATTATATAATAGTTCACAGTAGAAAGACATAGGTAACCTGATAGTAATTACGGCGGTGGAGTGTACAGGTATGTGATGACAATTTATGTATAATGTTAGTTATTAGTACTTCTTCATGGTGGTATCTTCCGGTGAGACATATTTAAACTACATAAGCTTAGTATCTTTGTTTTACGTTAATATCCACTATTGGTGGATGCGACATGAACAGGCATAATACATATTTAAATCCAACCTCTCGGAATAGACCACATAACGGTTGTTTGGGATTGCATAACAAATTGACATTTAAATGGAATAGAATAGAAAATAGGGTTCAGAGGCTGAATGTATCCAATACGCACGTTTAATGCTTGGGTATGTTTACATAAATGCTAAGAGTGTATCCGCGAGAAGACCATGCAAAAATCGCAAAAAGTGCTAAGATGGGGGGTCGAAAGTTTTTGATCAAACTTATGGTATGACACCCCCTAGGGGCAAGAGGTAACATGCTGAAGTGGTTACAGTCTGATGTCGCTCTAAAGGACTGTACAGGAATTATTCATTTTATGGGTAAAATTGCGGTTTTCACATGTGTATTTATCACCTTTTTTAAGCACAGACTGCATTCTATGGTGGAATAGCAACCTTCTAATTTTGACCCTGTCTGATAAAGCGGGTGGTCAACTTCTACCCCAGCACTAATTTGAAAAAAAAATCAATACATACTAATTTTGTGTGGACTTGTTTTCGGGTACCATATTCACATTGTCCTTATAGTGCAGAAAAAGATACAATGTAACGTTCTCTTTCATGGTCGCAAGTAGAATTTCTTTGGGTGGTTTTGAAGTGCTAAGCACATAGTATCCATAGGTGTAAAAAAAATGACCGGAATGCAACATACTTAAAATATACAGCTTATTGAAAAGTGCTAAAAAAAAAAAGCTTTTGTGATACATTTTTTTGCGAATTTAATTAGAGAAATAAAATTTTTGACTTTTATACGTTTTCATCATATCCATAGCCATTATTTGTACCTTGTTGTACTCTATGTAAGTGTGTATTTGTATTTATTGTATATTTGGTATTGTCGAATTGTCCCTTTAACATATTTGTTGTATTGTCTCTTTAAGATTTCATTTTCAAACAAGTTACCGAAAATGGCTACAAAATGTTTAATTTCAGAGCATGTTTCCACTATTCATTTTGGGACACATCCACTGATTTCTACAATACAGAAATGTGGAAGCTTAAATATTAACGGCAACGAAGCCTAATTGCGTCGAAGTGGGTGACATTGAACAGTGTAGTATGGTAGCTACAGCTCCCGGGCACCGTCAGCTGCACCTTCAGGGCCGGATTTAGAATAAGAGAGGCCCTAGGCAAACCCCCTGAACAGGGCCCACGACATGGGCCCTGGGACAAGCAACTCGGTGAGAGGGTGGGTCGGGGGAAGTCATGCGGTTGGTGGTTCGAATCTCACTTTTAGGTGAATTTTCCATTTTCGTTGGATTATTTTATTTAAAATAATGTCTATTTGAGAGTAATGGATATGTTTGTTAAGATTGAGCACGTCGAAACTCCAATGGAAGGTCGTGGACAACTGCAGAAGTCAATTCCCGTTGACGCCAGATGAGCCATGAACGATTACAAGCCTTTGAAAGTATTTTTTTTCAAGATATTTTTATAAAACAGATACTAATGTATTTTTGGGCTGGTAGTAAACACCATATGAATAAAAAGGAAAATAAATTGTTAGTTTTTTTTTTATCTACTACGGTTAATTATCTCCAAAATAGGGAAATTACAGGTTAATTTCATGGGTTATTGTTTCCTTTACCTAGTTTTTGTCAAGTCGATTCCGGTCATTTTTATTTTTTGTATCAAATGTTGGGAGGTTGCTTGTTCACGTGAGCATAAATTTTTTAAACCCACCCCATGAAAGAAGTAGCTATAGGGCGTCAAACTTTGGGTGACGAAAAATGGGGAATTTAGACAGGCTTTGATATCCAGTCCGTGTACAGATCTCGTTCGACAGAATCGTCTGAAGTTAATATTGTGGTAACAGCACTGAGTCATCGATAAACTGTGTGAGTTTGGTCTTTCTGCTACGTATAGTAAAGGTGTAAGGACTTGCCAAAGTTGGTATTTGAGAAAAGACAGATTTTGGCAATTTCACCATATGAAAAATGTTTTTTCAATTTTCTCATACAGGAATTGAAAGATTTAACTAATATTGCACATTTATGTGTTTTGGGACTATCCCAACTTATAAACCAAATTTGGTCAAAATCTGTGATTGAAGCCTTAGCACCTTCTGCATGGTTTTCTCGCGGACACGCTCCTAACAAGCAACGGGGTATATTTTAGATTTTAAACTGCTCTATTACTATACAACATGTTAGCCTTGATCTATTTCAGAATATTAAATTTAAGTCTTGTCATATTAATGTTTTCAGAAGGATGATGTTGGCTAATAACAAAATCATAAATATATTGATTTACTGTGTTTATCTCTTTCCATTTTATAAACTGTCTGGTTAGTAAAACATAGATTACTTATAACACATGTTTTTCTGTCTGGTAAGTAAACCAGTTAAAATATAATATACTCACATTGTATACTTAAAATCTACTTATCACAAATGCTATACTGTCTGGTTAGTAAAACAGCTATATTATAATCTACGCATAATACATGCGATATTGTCTAGTTAACAAGTTAAATTATAAGCTATACTCACCACGTGTTATGTTGTCTAGATAATAAACAAGTTAAATTATAATCTAAGTATGCCACATGTTATGTTGTCTAGTTGGTAAAAGAGTTAAAATATAATATACTCATACCAAAAAGCTGTATCTATTTTTATTGTATTGCTGCTGAAGGATGCGTAATATAACCGTTAATGCTAAACAGAGAATCAAATGACTTTTAAACGATTGTGCTACATTTGAGATCCAATTAAAGCCAACCGCAATACACGTACCCGATTCCCAGCCAATTTCCTCTAGAAACATGACTGTTTCCTCGATATTGAGGATACATTATCACCGTATATGATATAAATGGTGATACTACTAATTATAAAGCGTCTACTGTTAACGGAACTGGGATAACAAATTCGTCTGGGCTAATCTTACATGTTTTACTTTTCAGAAACTAAAGTTAGTACAGCTTGTTATGGTTCACTAGGTTTACAGTGTACTGAACATAGACTAATCTGTACAGCATCAACAGTTATATCAATAACTAATATAACGTTTGGATATAGATAATTCTGTTCACCTGTAGGTATATGTATTAATACAATATGTTGCAGAGAACTGACTGGAGATTGTTTTACACCTTACAACCAAACTCTTCTATCACAGCTACAACAAACATGTAATGGGCGATCAACTTGTACTCTTAATGGAAATAATGGCTTGAATGAAAGATCCCCACATTGTGAATTTACTATTACAGCTATATTTCATTCATACAGCAAGATAGAATATCAGTGTAGTACCATAGGTAAGTGTATTACTAGCCGGTACCACTGACAGCTCTATCCCTGGGTAGCTCTAAGCCGAGAACCGAGCCAAGATACTTGCATAGTAAATAATTACGCATACATCCAATAAAACGACACATATGTCTTTCATTTCAGTATTAGGTATCACTTTCTAGAGACGAAACCTAATTTTAATAGTTAAATTGTCGAGATTTAGTATATACAAATGTAATCACTCAAGTTAAATTTAAACGAATTTATTTATACGAATTATGTCATGATCACTGCATAGCTGATTGCTTGCAAGTAATTTGCAGGAGCTGATGAGCTGTAGATGCTACTTTTGCTTTGAGGTTAATCTGACAATGGGTATACCAAAACAGGGACGTGGCCATTACATGTAACCAATATTACCATTACCATTTCTTTTTAAATACGACCATTGCATTCTCATTTTAGCCCTGCTATTCATTACCATAACATTGAAAGTAATTGATTACAATTTTCATTGTTATGACTATATAGATATATGTAAGGTCCTATTATAGACATAGCCTTTTTGTCTAAAATCTAACTAAATGAAATCTTTGATTCGCCATAACAAAGTTTTCTGTTTGAATTGTTACTTCTATAAAAGACCACACCAAGACAAAAGCATAATAATTATTAATCATTCATGATAAAATGTGTTTGATTCTTTACTTTTTTCTTATCACAGAATCAAGTACCAAGATTGTTTATGAAACAAAACTTCTTCAGCAACTACTTCGATCATATCTGAAATAACTTCTTTAGGAACTGAACAATCCCGAGAAACTTTATTAACGCAAAGTAATTTTTACTTGCCATCTGCATTTTCAATTTTCACAAATCTAGATAGTCTATAAATATACACGTATTAAAAAATAATACAACATTATACATAATGCTAATTTGTATTTCAAATTATCAGTTACAACAGAATCAACAGCCGATAATGAAACTCTGGGTGGTGCAGAAACAGCGTTTGTTGATGGAGGTAAAGAAGTAGCTATTGTTGGTGGATGTGAAGATCTAGCTATTGTTGGTGGAATATTAGGAACAGTTATAGTCATCTGTATTGCCATCATTGTTATACTAGTAGTATACTTCAACAGGTGAATATTGGTAATACTTCAACAGGCGAATATTGTTATATTAGTAATACCATTGGTACATTATTAATACGTAAATATTCGTAACTATTAAAATACTTTACTACTATAATGAGTCTCATAATTCTATCAATAAACTTTTAGCACATCAATACCTGTAATACATTCATTGTGGTGGAAGGGGTGAATATACATACTTGCCATTCTATTGGGGTGGGGGTTACAGTCTTATAGTTAACGTTGTTTGTTTTTACTCCAACATGCTTCAATTAAAGTTGTCCTCTTTAATTAGTCGGTTAACCAATACAAACTTTTTTTTTCAAACATCATTACCCTACCACGTGTATCTTGTAATAGAATTCAAAATACATGTATAATTACAGGAGGTTATCGAAGGTGAATTCAGCGTCGCACCAAAATGATCGCCAATATGACTCAGCACCAACCAGATCTAGAGATGAATCCCCGACTGTGTACAATTCATTAAATACAGGACAACATTCAACTATAGACGGTGGAAATTCACAAATCAACCAGAACAACCAGCATTACGAACACCCGTATGATGCGGCACCAAGGGAACAACAGATCAACCAACTGTTGTTTATGATTCTTTAAATACACGAGAACAAACTGGTTATTATAATATGGGTAACATCAACACAGTTAGCAGTTAAATACAATTATTCAGTGGGGGTTGGTGTGGTAGTGTATTCCCAATTATGTTTATAATGATGATTCTATAACTACTGAACACAGGCAATGGATGAACACAAATACGATATTGCAGCTTCAATATACATAATTATAGCTTCAATAAAGATGTTGAATAATGACGCTATGGTTAGGCTGTCGTCGATTACTGGTTAACACCAACCCCTCCGCCCATATGAATACAATATCGTAATAATGTCTTGCACCAATGACCACACGAACACCCCGTGCAACATTCTCGGCCAACACCGACAGCAAACCCCGCCCTCCGGGTTGGATTAGTGCTTTACTCACCGAGCTACCGTGGCCCTCCAGCTACAAACATATAGTTTCTTTGTTGAAGATATACGATGTTTTATTATACCGTTTGTGTATGACAGGAGTAGATTAATTTCATACTAACTTTGTGTTTATTTTTTTCAAGGAAAACTAATATGGAATAAATAAAAAATATTTTGATATCGATACCCGTTATCTGTGTAAATAATATTTATACTAATACAATGTTTTGAGATTAATAATACAGTGTTTATTTATTTACATGGTTCTAAATTCATTAAAATCATTTTACGCTAATTCAGTTGTGATCATTTGGATATGCTTGTAAAAGGGAACGTAATAATTTATGCGTACTACAAGTACTACCACCTTCCACTGTTGATGTACAGTGGTCAGTCAGGGGTCCCATGCACGCTTAATGTAAGCCTGATTGTTAATCTGTAACTATTGTATTATATAATATTACTATTAGATTATATAATATTAATCATCAAATGTATTGCTCGGTTATGTGTATTACTAATAAATTTATTAGAACCTAAATACAATTTTTTAAAAATTCAGTGTCGCTTTGCCAACCAATCTCAGAACATTAACAGTCCAATCCAATGTATATGGGCAACTGGACACCAATAAATTCATATTACCAAAGGTAATCGTTCTATTTGGTTTTTGATACCCGTGCCTTCTATATTGATTGAAATTATTAATTAGGCATGTGTTCACATGACAAGCCAATTATCAACACTATAGAACATCGGTTGGTCGTGATATTGAATAGATAAACACTCGATGTATTTAATAGTTTAATGTTAAAATGGATAATCGGGACATGTGTGTATTATCGAGACACTCTTGTCCAAACTTCAAAAACCTTGGCTGCATTGTCACGCGATCGGTATACATTGGCCCAATTAAAGGACAATATTGGTGCCAGTCATTATCACATATGTGATAGAGCTGGTTAAACACATTCCAAATATAATTTTAACACAGACACCATTGCTACGATAGCTGAGTAATGCAGCTATTGGACGGAATTATTAGTGAGCAGAAATTCGGCCGTGTATCTGTTATCACTCGTCACATCAGTCAGTTATATAGAGGTATGACTCGTGTTTTCCTTTGGCGTTCGTCACTTCCGATTCAGGAAACCTGTATTGCTCAGATATCGTAGCAATGATCTCTGTGTTAAAATTATATTTGGAACGTGTTTACTTAGTTTTATCACATATGTGATAATGACTGACACCAATATTGTCCTTTAAAAGAAATATGTAACCATATTCTATATATTTGGAAAGTGGATGACGTAGAAAAGTAATAGATGTGCATAATTGATATGGGTATAATGTGGGTTGTTAGCTTCAAGAAATATAGTGATTTTAGATGTTATAATCATAATAATAAAATGTAGATTTAGACAGGTATTAAACCACTCAATATAATTCATATACAGGTACATGACTATAAACACATGTGGTCTATATACACCACTTACACGAATTTATACAATGTATCCAGGTATGACATGCGAACTATTGTAAGATTACACTACAATACAATAGAACCCGAGAGTTATATACTATAGGCCTAACAGTTAATATACTTCCTGTAATATTCAGATACATGAATATAAGACAGGTGGGCCATATAGAAGTTACCCATTTATTAGACTGACATGCGTAACCTCACAGTAGAAAGGCTGGTGTAGTGTACACGTATTTTACGACAACTTCTGTGTGATTTTGAATAATTTTAATTCTTCATGGTGGTAACATCAGGTGACGTGTATAGACCAAGTAACAGTTAACCAAATACTGTATTATATGTAATAATAATACACTAGGTATGTATAATATAGATATAGTCGCGGTAGATCAAATAAAGCCTTAAATGTAATGATAATATCGCCATGCATAATATCATCATATTTAAATACAATAGTAGAATAGAAAACATCAATTTATGCTTGACTTTTATTTGGATTTAAGTAATTTAAAACACACCTTGTTATATTACATCTAGAATTCCTGCTGTTTAAATATTTTCAGAAGGGTGATGTTAGCTAATAAAATAATGATAAAGACATTGGTTTGTTGTGTTTGTTTCTTTCCATATTTTGTACTAACTGGTAAGTAAAACATTACTCATATAATTTTATATTGTCTGGTAAGTAAAACATTACTCATTGCATGTTATACTCTCTGGTAAGTAAAACTTTACTCATAGCATGTTATACTGTCTGGTAAGTAAAACTTTACTTATAACATTTTATACTGTCTGGTAAGTAAAACATTACTCAATGCAGGTTATATTGTCTGGTAAGTAAAACATTACTCATGGCATGTTATACTGGGTTTCCATTAAAAACAACCAAATGACACGTACCCCATTCTCAACCAATTTCCTTCTAGACACACGATAGTATATTATCGCCATATATGTTACAATTTTGAAGATATCATATTTTACCTTCAGAAACTAAAATTAGTACAGTGTGTTATGGTATACCAGGTATAGGAGGTTGTATTGACCATAAACTCATCTGTACAGAACCATCTATTATATCAATAACTAATATAACGTTTGGATATAGGCAAGGGTGTAGAGTTAGTGGTGTAGCTAGCTGTATTGATACAGAGTGTTGTAGAGAAGAGACTGGAGATTGTTTTACACCTTACAACCAAACTCTTCTATCAGTATTACAACAAACCTGTGATGGGAGGTCTAGTTGTATTCTTAATAGAAATAATGGCTTGGATAAAGTATCTTCATATTGTTTTAATGGTATTCCTATATATCATTCGTACAGCAAGATAGAATATCAGTGTAATACCATAGGTAAGTGTATTAGCAAGTGTCACGACAGACAGCTCTACCCCATAAGTAAGTTTATTAGTTGCCGCAGCTCTACCCTTTGGTACGTGTTTACTTGTGCCCAAGTGCTGTATTCTGGGGGTTGTAGCTTATTCCAACACTAACGACGAAAACTCAGATAAATAGTTAAAATTGTACTTTTAATAAACGAGTGCCCAAAACTGGCTAACGGTCACAATAACGAGATAGGTATCGCTAGGGCGAGCCGGTCACCAGACTAAAGTTACAGTAGAATATAGAACATATATACAAGCTTACGATTAAAATAATTATATAATAATATTTGATCAGAAATGTTAAATTGTACATTGGAAACAGATGTTTAAATACAGAAGACGATATGGACATAGCAAGAACGCGTGTTTACTATAATTACGTAATATATATCGTTACATTAAGTATAAACCCAAACAGTTAAAAGACCAGAAACATTAAAGAGATATCAATTCGGACATTGGTCAAGCTATTTTGACTAGAATTAAATAGTAATAAAATATATAGTATATAATTGCATTTCGTCAATGGCTATACAACAAAACTAGACTTAATCCTTGCATTAGGTATCGCTTTCAAGTGACAAAACTCAGATATATTTTAGAGATTGAACCTTTGCAAATATATTTAGTCAAGTTAAATGTGGGCGAAATTATTTAGCCGTATTATGTTTGTAAATGACTGTTGCCTGTTCCACTGTTCAGATGGTTTCGGTTTTGTGTTTTTACATGTACATCCGCTTTGACGTCGGTTCCAAACAAGTTCTTCTTTTATGCATAACATAGCTAACATACTCACATTACCGTGTTACACAAATAATCATAACTGTAGCTGAAACTTGACTTTATAAAACGTCTAAGTAGGAACATACAGGTGATGGTAGCACAACAGCAAGCGAACAAGTGCGGAATCACGGAGTAACTAAAATCTTGAATGAAAATATTAAAGCTGTAGTTTTACTCGACACTGTGTCACATAAGTATACTACATCCTGTGATTCTCTTTAGCCGGTCTCAAATAATTCGTCACATATATGGCGGCGCAACATATCCCGGTTGGTACTAACTTGCCATAAAACCACAGTTCATTTCATATCAGTATACCAAAACTTAATCGCGCAGAAAAACACCTTAGCGCTTAGTTATTATTATTCGTGTATAATATATTGTGTTACTCTTTCTGTCTTTATTTTCGCATGTCCTTTTACACAAAGCTAAATAATCTATTAATCCATAAATATGTGTATTAATAAACATTATGAATATGCTACTTTGAAATTCAATCAGGTACAGAATCAACAATCAATACTGTATATTTGTCTGGTACAGAAGCAACGACTGTTGGTGGATGTGAAGAAGTAGCTATTGTTAGTGGAGTGTTAGGAACAGTTATAGTTATTTGTATTATCATCATTGTTATACTAGTAATATACATCAACAAGTGAATATTGTTATATTAGTAATATACTTTAACAGGTAAATATTGTTATAGTAGTTATACTAGGACATACGAAGGGTATATTCTTATCACCCCCTACACCCCAGGGGGTATACTAAGTAGATAAATATTAAAAACGTAAATTGTGTTATATTATTAAATACGTAATTTGTGTTATATTATTAATACTAAATATCTCAACATTGATTTATTAGTAATATACTTTACCGTATCAGCATACTGCTATGCTGATTTGCCAGCATTATACCAACCCACTCCTGACATGATAACATAGTATTGATACTATTAATGTGGGAGGGATAGGTGTACATGTAGAGGATACGATCCTAGACTTATCGTGGCTTGTGTTTTTTCCAAGTTGCACCCCCACCAAGTTGCACCCCTAAACTTTATTTTCTTACGATCATTACCCCACCATGTGCACCATGTGTAAATTTCTTTAGAATTCATCCATTACTAAGTTATTCAAAATGCATGTATAATTACAGGAGGTTGTCTAAACAGAATTCTGAGCCAAACCAAAATAATCACCAATATGACGCAGCACCAAGCAGATCTAGAGATGAATCACCGGCTGTGTATAATTCTTTAAATATAGGACAACAGAATGGTGGTCAACAACATAATACAGCCAATGAACAAACACACAGTTCGTACAACAGTCAACATTCAACTATAGACAATGAAGATCCACAAATCAACCAAAACAACCAGGAAAACGAACATGAATATGAATCAACACTACGTGCAGTAACAGACCAACCAACTGTTATTTATGATCCTTTAAATACACGAGAACAAACTGGTTATTATAATATGGGTAATATCAACACAGCACGTGAATACAATCGTTCATTGGGGGTTGGTGGGGTGGTAGTATATTCCCTGTCATAGATAAACACAAATACGATATTACAGCTTAGATATACAGCACAATAGCTTTAATATACAGAATAATAGCTTCAATAGACAGAAAAATGGCTTCAATACAGCAATTGAGGGTTTTGTGGTTGGTACGTGTACACATGAACTCGTATTTCGTCGTATCCAAACGACTAGACGCTGTTCTTGTCAGCCCCCCCCCCACCCCTGCACCAGACAAGGCCAAACCACACTGGAAAGTCCCAAGGAACCTACTCAGCCAACAACGGGTAACGAACCTGAAATCTCATTAACTAGTGCTTTTATCACTGAGACACCGTAGCTCTCGGCTATATATAATAATATACTAGTTCAATATAATAGCATGTTTTATGTTTGGTATATCTTTCTAAATGGCTGACTAATGGACCCGAAGAACCCGTATCTATTATGTATCCAAAATACTACAGTGGTCAATAAAATTATTTTACGTTATTTCAGTTGTTGTAAATATTTGCTTGTAAACGATAACGTTATTAAATAACTGACAACAATCAGTCATTATTTATGGCCATGCGTACTGCAAGTACTACCATTTATGATATAAAATGACCCTTGACGGAAGTAGATTTTATACCATTTATGTGATTATGTGAGTGTGACGGACAATTGCCAGAATAATATGTTCTCTTTTCACCGTTGATACAAAGGACCCACAGACATTTTCAGCTAGGGGCCTCATCAAATATATTGCTCGATAATGATCACAAAGGATACTATCATAAGAATCCAAAAAAAATATCTTAAAAGCGAAATATTACTATAGCTAGTAAAATCATGACAATGATGCTGTTGAAATCATATGTATTTATCGAAGCTTCAGCGTGGTTAGATATTGATTTCTGGTTACATTGTCATTAAAATTTACCATTTGTTGTGCTGAAGTATATGTGTTCGTATTTTATTCCCAACCCAGAACTCTGCCTTAACTATAGCTGTCATTTCATTGCACTCACCGGAAGACAGCGTCGCTTTACCTTTCCATCACACAGCACTGTCAGTCTAACGAATATGGACACTCGGCACCAATATATTTCTGGGTGTCAATAGCTGTTGATTTTGGAGTGTAGAATCGAAGAAAACGGTTTGTATGCACATTTGCTGACTTTAAGGCCGAAGGATAAGATGCTGGTTACGTTGAAATGTAGGGCGGACAGTTGCAATCTTAATAGTATGCAACTTCAAATGTGTGTCCATATTGAATGATATTGCTTGTCAGCTAAACGTTCAAACAAATTGCTCCATCTCTGACAGAAAGCGTTCAACTGACTATTCGAAGATTTGTACCAATAATAATCTTTATCCTGTACTCTATTGAATGATTAGTCAGTGGGTCATTCCACGTCAATTCGACCAGCGGGTGAACCAAACATCAACGATTTCGCTCATGTATAGTATTTCTTCAGTTTGGGACTTGTGTTTTTGAACTTAGCGATTTCACTTCCATTGAAATCTGTTCACAATTTCTTTCAACCCCTGTCATGTGATCTACATATTATATACTATACCACTTACACGAGTCGGGGTTATTAACTTCTGAAAAAAACAGCCTGGAGGTCGGGTGTTCGATCCCTGCATTGGCCGAGAAAGTTCATCCAGATTTTCCGGCGTGGTTTCCCCTTGTCAGTGATGCAGGACGGAGGGCCTGACAAGGACAGCTGTCTAGTCATTCGGATGAGACGAAAAACCGAGGTCCCGTGTACACATTGGCATGCACGTAAAAGATCCCTTGACAGTTGGAATTCGATATAAGAGTAGGCCGTAGTGCCGCTGTCCGGGCAAAATTTCCCTCGTAGCACACTGTATGGCGTATGCCCGTCTTCATTAGCCCAGTTCGGAGCAAAACAGTAGGACGTTAAACCCCATTTCATTTCATTTCATTTCTGAAAAAAACAAGTTTAGAAATACACAAGCTATTATAATATTACACTATTATAATATTACATAATTCACTGAACACACGACACATGTGATGTATATATACCTCCCGAATATAACAAACGTATAGCCTATTTAGTATAAACTGTATAGAAGGACATAGGTAATCTGATAGTAAAGTGGTGTTATATACAGGTATGTTACGACAACTTCTATGTAACTTTAAATAGTTTTAATTCTTCACGGTGACACATATATTACACAGGTATAGTATTATATAATTTTATCATGTTAATGTAAACATGCATTATATATATCATCATATATTTAGATTCAATCGCTAAGAACAGACACAGTACGTTGGAAATGAAATGAAAGGAAATGAAATGGAGTTTAACGTCCTACTGTTCTGCTCCTAACCTGGGCTAATGAAGACGGGCATACGCCATACAGTGTGCTATGAGGGAAATTTTACCGGACAGCGGCACTACGGACTACTCTTATATCGAATTCCAACTGCCAAGGGATCTTTTACGTGCACGCCAATGTGTACACGGGACCTCGGTTTTTCGTCCCATCCGAACGACTAGACAGCTTTCCTTGTCAGCCCCTCCGTCCTGCATCACTGACGAGGGAGAACCACGCCGGAAAATCTGGATGAACTTTCTCGGCCAATGCAGGGATCGAACACCCGACCTCCAGGCAAGCAAGCTAGCGTCTTACCCACTTAGCGACGTGATCCTCCAGTACGTTTGACCGGGAATGTATACTATCATGATAATTAAATGAAATAGTAGAATAGAAAAAACATAAATACTAGGACGTATCAAGGCTAACTGTTTCTAATACGTAAGTTTAGGTGTGTTTAGTTAAATGTCTTAAATAGTGTGTATTCAAGATTTACAAATTCGCTATTCATTTTACTATACAATATTTTAGCCTTGACCTTTTCGAATTTATTGAAATTAAAACATACCAAGCTATATTAATTCTAGAATGCTTGCTGTTATAATAATTTCAGAAGTGTGATGTTAGCTAATTATAGAATGATCAACATATTGGTTTATTGTGTTTGTCTCTTTCCATGTTTTATACTGTCTGGTAAGTAAAACAGTTAAATTATAATTTACTCATAACACGTGATACACTGTCTGTTGGTAAACCAGTTAAATTATAATCTACCCATAACATCGTTATACTGGTTGGTAAGTAAAACAGTTAAAATATAATCAACCCATAACACATGTTATAATTATATAGTCTAGTTAAATTATAATCTACCCATACCACAAAGCATCAGCGCTTTATTTATTCTCAATACGTTTTGCATGGGTGCAGCGTAATATAACTTTTAATGCTAAACAGAATCGTATAACTTTTAGACGATTGTGCTACATTTGGGTTACCAATGATAAAACAAAAACAAATTACACGTACCCCATTCTCAGTTAGTTTCAGTCTAGACACATGATAGTTTCCTTATCGATATTAAGGATACATTATGTGTGGTTTCTGGTCGAGAGCGAGACATTAAATATTATATTGAAACAACACGAGGGACGCCAAACTCTGGCACGTTCTTTGCAATAAAATACGTCAAGCGGGTTCAAAATTCCAACGTGTATAAATAATGTACATTTGGCACATTGTCCGTACCATTATTTGAAATGATAGTATGCAAACATCAAAGGACGACGTCCCATCTGTATTTTAACGCCGTATATGATTTCAGAATCTAAGGTCAGTATAGCTTGTTTTGGTCCACCAGAAATAGGAGTATGTGCTGAACATAAACTAATCTGTACAGAACCACTGGTTATATCAATAACTAATATAACGTTTGGATATAGACGAGGATGTAGTAGTAGTGGTGTATCTAGCTGTGTTGATACAACATGTTGTAGAGAACAGTGTGGAGATTGTTTTACACCTTACAATCAACCTCGTCTATCAGTATTACAACAAACATGTATTGGGAGATCAACTTGCACTCTTAATATAAATAATGGTTTGAATCAAAGATCTTCATTTTGTTTTAATGGTAGTCCTATATATCATTCTTACAGCAAGATAGAATATCAGTGTAGTACCATAGGTAAGTGTATTACTTGCCTGTACGACTAGCAGCTCCACCCCTGTGTAGCTTTAAGCCGAGAAACTAACCATGATAGTTACAGAGTAAATGATTACTCATCGTTCTTTTCTATACACCGAATAAAACGACACATATGTCTTTCATTTCAGTATTAGGTATCACTTTCTAGAGACGAAACCTAATTTTAATAGTTAAATTGTCGAGATTTAGTATATACAAATGTGATCACTTAAGTTAAATGTAAACGAAATTATGTATACGTGTTATGTTTGTAAATGACTTCGTTTTCAAATAACTGTATATTTAAGAATCCTACATGTATCACATAACTGATACACTCCCATTAATTACGGAGTTAACAAATAACCCTAACTAACTGAAGACGACACCGAAAAGCAGAAATATCCATTTGAAGGTAGTACAATAGCAGGAGAAAAAGGACAGAATCGCTGAATGACTAAAAGCTTGAGCGTCATTCATTACCATTACCCATTATTTTATGACTGTATAAATACATGTAAGACCCTATTTTAAATATTAAAAGGACAACCTTATTTTCTGAAATCGTTGATTCTCAATTAAAAACGTTTCTGTATGAATTGTTATTTCAATAAATATTTCAATCAAGACAAAAGCTACATTTTAAGTGAGTCGCAACCAGATTAGTTAGTAATTATTATTCAATCATGATATTAAGATTTGTTTGATTCGCCTTTTCTTTACTTCTTAAGCAACTGAACAATCTCGAGAAACTATACTCTTCAAAACAAGTAGGGGATATTGAAATGCAAATACAGGTTGTGATATGATAAATAGTCATGGACACTCGACATGCTTTGAAAGTATGTTCACGGATGAAGAACATATCTCCCCAACAGAACCACTGAGCTGCATGTGCGACACACAATAGCGCCATACACGATGGAGGAGTTCATTGTCAGATTTGACACTTCATGGAAGGGTTGATGAAAACTGCCGCTTGCTGGTTTATCCTATCCATGTTTGCTTTCGTATCGGTTCTTGCATAATATTTACTGTTTAGCGTATCTTTTCTTTAGTGTGTTACGTTTAATTTGATCGGTAGACGTGTTCGTCAATGTCAACCGACAACACTGCAAGAATTGGTCGTGGCACTGCAAGAAGAGTGGGTAAGATTGCCCCAAATCGTAATTAGACGATTGATTAGGAGCATGCCACGACGAATTGCTGAATGTCTGAGGATTGGTGGAGCAATTACTCATTATTAAGACAAAAATCAAAAACGTCCATTTTCACTTTTGATAGTGTATCTCTTTGCGAATGAAATGGGGCCGTCAGATAAGCCGCTTATATGAACTGTTTATGTTCATGTGTAGACAACGGGCCTGTTATTAACATACACTGGTTACCTCTAATAAAAACAGCAGTGCATTTCCACAGTGCAGTTTTGTATTTTTTCTGAATATCCCCTACTTTTTTTTAAGAGTATATATTAACGCAAGGTGATTTTTAATTACTAATGTACACAAATTTAGATCGTCTATCAATAATATCTATTGTACAAAAACATATGAATAATGTTTCTTTGTATTTCAATTGATCAGTTGCAGAAACAACATCCGATAATGTAACTATTGGTGGTAGAGAAACAATGATTGTTGATGGAGTTGACGATCTAGCTATTGTTGGTGGAGTGTTGGGGACAGTTATAGTCATCTGTATTGTCATCATAGTTATATTAGTAGTATACTTCAACAGTGTACTCAAAACACTAAATAGGTAAACATTCTTAAACTAGTAATACTATATTGGTATTGGTCATAACGAATAGGTAAATATTGTTTATACGTAAATATTGTTATATCATTAATATTGAATAGTTAAAATTATAGCCATCTATAGTATCACCATGTATTGATTCTGATGATCCTCTAACTCTGCTGCATCGGTATTCTCGGGTCATTGAGTCCACACTTGACGTATTTGCTCCTGTAATGTCCCGCAAAAGTAAAGGCAACCACCAAAACGCCTTGTATACTGATGTCATTTAGTCTGAAATAATTCTCAGACGAAAAGCAGAAAGAAAATGTGTAAACACGGGCCTTGAAGTTAATAGACAGTTATTCCAAACAAAGTCCAAGAAGGTCATAAAATTGATCTCGGATGCTAAGACAACGTTTTATATAACTAAACTCTCTGTAACAGATTCTAAAGATCTTTTTAATGTTATCGATATACTTATATCTGAAAATCAAAAGAAATTATCAAAGTCTAATTCAGATGTTGTGCTAGCTGAACGTTTTACTTTTAGTGACTTCTTTCATGACAAATTCAGTGATATCAGACGTACTTTGACAATACTAGCAGTGGATTAAGGGCGTTTGAAGAACATGATTTACCAAGCCGTTTGTTTGGGTTTGCCCAGTTATAGATGAACATGTCCATCATTGGTAAGATCAGATCCCCTTCCAACATGGCTTCGGAGGTCCAAACCAATATTAGATGAACTCCTTCCTTTCATCACTACCATCATAAATTCTTCAATTGCCAACAGCTGTGTGCCGACTCCATTAAAGACCGACCTTGTAATTCCACTTCTGAAGAAACCATCGCTTGATTGCTAGATCCTTGAGAACTATCGCCCTGTCTCAAATCTTGAGTTCGGAAAGGTGCTCGAAAGGGTGATAGCAAGACAAATCACTAATTATCTGCAAGCTAACGATCTCCATGGGCCATTGCAGTCTGCTTATAAAGAAGGTCACAGCAAAGAGACAGCACTTTCAAAGGTAAAAGCCGATATTGATGCAGCAATGGATAGCAAGCTTATACTACTATAGCACTTTGTTCAATCGACTGCAGTGGGAATCAAATGATCGGCGCTGGATTGGTTAAAGTCTTATTTAACTGACAAAGGCCGATGTGTCCATATTCATACCACTGTCCATTGGAGTCCCACAGGGGTCAATAAAAGGTCCACTTCTTCCCTTACTGTATGTACTTCCACTTGGAAAAATCATTCATAAACATGGTTTCAGCTATCATGGTTTTACCGATTGTACAACAATTGTACGCAATTGTACAACACATTCATTCCTTCAGACCAGTTGTCAATACACAGTGCCCTAACGAAGCTAGAATCCTGTAGCAATGCTATTCGGACATGGATGAATCAAAACAAATTAAAGCTGAACCATGAGAAGACATAATTCCTGATCACAACTGTACAGTATCGACTTTTCACCAAAATTAAACATCGGCGATACCGAAATTTCATCATCATCATGTAAAGCACGAAATCTGGGTTTCACCATGGACAAGTCAATACTATGTGGTTAACAGTACTATGTGTAAAATGTACATGAGATAAAACCAATATCCAGAATCAGGAGGTATCTTACTAAAGATTCATGCGCTAGAGTTGTATAAGCATTGGTCACATCTCAGTTGGACTATGGAATTGGACTCCTGGCTGGCATTCCAGATATCTCCTTCAACCGTTTCAAGTTGTACAAAAAAACGGTGCTCGACTAGTTGCCAAGTCATCTTGGCAACCGTACAAGTTAGAAACCATTTTGTTGTATCTGTATGATCATATGGGTTCATTCTATTTGTTGATTGGAATCAACATTACAAATCAGAATAAAATATCTGTTTTGAAGGCTTAAAATACAGTTTTTGCCAAAATTACATTACTTCCGGTGATACTAAAAATGTTAAATTGGTTTTATAACACCGTCTATGATATTGGGCATCACATGGTGAAAATTTTAAGATCGAATAATAATTGACACTTTTATGGACCAAAAACCTTCAAAAGTGACTTGTAGAAAACCGTCTATTTCTCCGCAACCGAACAAGTTAGAAACAATTTTATGATATCTATATGACCGTATGAAATTTATTAATATGTTAATTTAAACCAAAAGTTAAAAATATTAATACATATTAAATAATTCTTGGTTGAAAAAAATATTGATTTTAAAAGTTAAAAAATGCAGTTTTTGACAAAATGGCGTCACTTCCGGTGTCAATTTTAAATTGTAATCAATAAGATATGACGCATACTTGCTTTTTGAATCAAATGGTGTCACTTTTATGAAAATCCAATAATTATTGACTATTCTACAGGCAAAATAACGAAAACAGTGACTTATGCAAAATTGCCCATTTCTAGGCAACTGCTTATATTACAAACTAATATAAACATACATTTTCTTCGTATGGATTATAGCTACAAGTTTATAAAAGTTACGTAGATTTTAAAATCTGAAAAGCCTGAATGGGTTGTAAATAGGTCAATTTTACACCCTTTTTCACCTCTTAATCGAATTTGCTCGAAAATGAAATCGAAATTAAAAAATCTGAGCTCACACTTTTTTGCACCTTTAAAGGGTACACTCTTTTAATTATATCAGTTTTTAAAAAAATAATATTTGCTTTCGAAAAATGGTACCTAACTGTCAAAATTGTAGTTTTTGGTAAAATTACGCCACTTCCGATGCCGACAAATAACTCTACCGGTAACAACAAAAATGACAATTGAGACAACGGAGCATATGAACTTTGTTTTATACAAATCGAACAATAAATAATTAATCTAGGACTGAAAAACTGAATTAGCCAATGGCGGCTAAGGAAAACTACGGAGACAAAAAAAAATCACATTTTTGCTCAAGTCAGATGACTCTTTAATTCTGTGTAAAACACGACTAAAAAATATTCATAAATAAAAAAAAAATAGTAAAAATTTAAATTTTCTAAATTTGGCGCCTAATATCTGCGACGATTTGCCGAAAATCAAAAGTAGCGTAGCTATGTGCCCCTGTCTCCGGCTATGCCAAAATGCATCGAAAGTTAAAATCCAACGATTATTGTTAAAATTACTGGAATATTTTTAAAAACGAATGCTTCCGTGATTTCGGACATTTCGCATTGTCACGGAACGTTCAAAATAGTTTTATCCTCTAAGTCACACCCACCGAAGAAATTGAAACGATGCGACAAGCAGTTGCTGAGATATAATCAAAACTGAATTTGAATAATAATAATAATTAGAATAATAATTTTAACAAAAACAATAGTGTTTCACACAAGCTACGCAGTGTGAAACAATAATAATAATAATAATACTAATAACAAACAGGTAATAATAATAATAAACTACTACAGTGTTTCTCAGCATTTTATCAAATAAACCCCGCAGTCCGATTACCATGTATGCGTTTTCTTTTCGTTTCCGTCAATGTTTTCGCCGGTTACGTCAAAACAGCCCAATTACATTTGCATTAGACCAACTACATGGAAAACGGGGGTTAGTATATCAATCATAACGGCATTATTGTAGAAGAGTTGGATGCACATGTATGGTATTCTGCTACCATTAACGTGCTCTGTGTTTCCTTCTCCCGGTTACTGCCATTAAAGGTGTCCTCGTTGATTAGCTGGATCGCCATCAGTTATAACTTTATTTTCTAACGATGATAAAATCATGTATTCAAAATGCGTGTATACTTACAGGAGGTTGTCGAAACTGAATTCAGAGTTACACCAACATGATCACCAATATGACTCGGCACCAACCAGATTTAGAGATGAATCACCGACCGTGTACAATTCTTTAAATACACGACAACAGAATACAGCCAATGGACAAACACACAGTTTGAACAACAGCCAACATTCAACTATAGAAACTGAAGATGCCCAAATCAACCAGCATTATGAACACCCGTATGACGCGGCACCAAGAGGAACAACAGATCAAGAAACTGTTGTTTATGATTCTTTAAATACACGAGAACAAACTGGTTATTATAATATGGGTAATATTAACACACCACGCGAATAATCTCGTCAGTTTCGGCGAGAAGGCTTTTGGGGTAGCTGCCCCCAAACTATGGAATAAACTTCCTCATTCCATTCGGTCATGCACTTCTCTGTCATCATTTAAGATTTCTCTAAAAACGCACTTGTTTAATAGGGCTTTTAATTAATCATCTCTGTGATAACTATATTTATATTTTATGCAATACTTCCTTTTACTCAACTTTTATGTATATTATTCACTTTTTATGTTTTAATCTTATATTTGTTTTGTCAATCATATTATCTTTATTGTAAAGCGCCATTGAGCACTTTTGTGGAAATGGCGCTATATAAACGCTTATAAATAATAATAATAATAATAATAATAATAAAATGATTTAGTGACGATTCTATATCCACAGATTATAGCTTCGATATACATAATTATAGATTCGATACACATAATTATAGCTTTACTACAAATAATTACAGCTATAATATACAGAATAATAGCTTCATAATGCAGAATATTAGCTTTAATATATAATAGCTTCAATACAGCAAATGAACAAAAGACGTGTGGGTACGAGAGATGATGTTTGGTGATTAGCACTTCCACTCCGCCCATATGACGTTTCGGTTAGGATGGCATCTCCGCCCATATTAATATGATACCGCATATTAAGTAAATAAGTAAGTAAAGTAAAGATCAAACAAACTGCTGGACACATCTAATTCTGTAGCAAATAAACAAAGCTAAGCGATCAACACAAATAAGGCTAAAAACTACAAACATTAATGAACTGGGGTTAGCGTGCTATTGTACTGCATTGACATGGTCAATGAAGAAGGGCGTTTACCATGCAGTCTGCTATGGGGGATAACTGCACTACGGCATATATTCCTATATCAAATTCCAAATGTCGTAGATTTGTTATCGTATTTCTACAACATGTATGCTAGTCGAATGTTTTGAAGTAAGTGCGTATAATATGCACTGTTAAAGTCACTTAAGTAGATAAAATACCAACCTGATCCAAGGCAGTTTTGTTGAAATGGGTTTGTCTCTCGCTCTGATCGGTCCGCCCGGAATATCAATATATTTCACGCCCCACCGAATGTTTCATCTGCGACCTGTATATTCCATTTACTACCCATATATTTCATTCCATGACATATTGTGTATAACACGTAATCATATGTATGCATACACGATAATTATACTAATCCAGTGTATAAGGCGAATAATATCATATCTTTTATGTACGCTAATACGGATTTTGTAATTATATTTTGCATATGTTTGTAAAAGAAAACGTTATTAAATAAATGTGAATAACTAGTAATTATTTCTGATATTATGTTGATATATACTTCACGGCCATGCAAGTGCTTACTGTAATATAAAATTACCCTTACCAGAAGTCGATTATATATCATGTGTGTCATTGTGGCGTACGGTGATAAGTGCAAGCATAATGTGACCTTGATGGTTAATATGTAACTATTTTGTTATATACCTTTAGTCATCAAATATATTATTGCTCGATTACGCGTACTACGAATAAAATTATTATAACCATTCTAAAAAAAACAACATTTTAAAACATATTGTCGTAATCGCAGGTATTTGTCGGAGCTTTCACATGCTTAAGATATTCATTGCGGGTATACCTTGACAAATGCCATTCGCTGTACATAAGTATTTTTGTTCGTATTGTATTCCCGACCTCATAACCCGGTCTTAAATAAAGCTGCTATTTCAGCTGGTATGTTCTTACCGGAAGTCAGTGTTACTTTACCACCCCATCACACAACATTGACAGCTGATATGTCCTCACCGGTATACGACATTATAGCTTCGATATACATATTTATAGCTTCAATACAGAAACTGAATAAATGACGCTATGGTTAGGGTGTCGTAGATTACTGATTAGTACCATCACCTCCGTTCATATGAATACAATATCGTAACAAGTAACGATATAATACACCACTGTACATATCTGATTATATAATCAACACAAATACCATTACAAACTACAAACATAAATAAACATGGGGTTGAATAAATGACGCACGGTTTAGGATGCTGCTGTTTAGTGTCTGCCCCTCCGCCCATATGAATACAATACCGCCCACACCTGATTATCTAACCCATGTCTTGCAGCATTGAGGAGGCGAAACCACACAATAAAATCCTGTGCAACTGGTTAGTGAGCCAGTGCGTTACTCACCGATCCACGGTGACCCCCAACTATAAACATATATAGTTTCATTGTTAAAGATAATATCATGTTTTATGCTAGCTCATATATTTTCATTATACAATTTGTGTTTGACAGCAGTAGATTAATTACATTACAAACTCTGTTTTTATTTTCCTCAAGGAAAAAAAATATGGAATAAATAAAACACTTTTTGATACTAATATCCGTTACCCGTGTAAATAATATTTATACTAATACAATGTTTTAATATTACTAATACAATATGTTTTGATATAACTAAGTACATGTGGAATAAATAAAAACTATTTTATACTAATACAATGTTTTGAGATTAATAATACAATATTTATTTATTTACATGTTTAAAATAATTTTAAGCAAATTTAGTCGTATTTATTTGTATATGTTTGTAATTAGATAACTGACAAAACAGTAATTATTTATGCCTACTGCAAGTACTATCATTTGTACCGCAAGTTCTACCATTATAGTATAGAATAACTCGTGTTGGATATAATCCTTGAGAGGCATTTAGCAGTTAATTTATGATTTAATACTAGAACACTTATTATGGATACAATCACTTGGGGTATTATACTGCAACGTTTCAACAGAATTTCAAACAAATATCTAATGTGCAAATGAGACATATCATGAGTGACATATACCCTGTTGGGGGAGGGGTATAGGCGTGTGTTGGCCAAACGGTTTGTTTAGCGGGACTCGTGTCTCCCCTAAGTATGACTCTTCGCAGCTACAATAGATTTTGTAAAGACAGCTTTTGGGGTGGATGGGTTCAACTTTCCATTTGCTTTTAGGATGACATCTACTCCAATCTATGGATGCTGGTCTAATATTCTCCTTATTTGGTATGATACCTTGCCGTTGAATGGGATTGGTATACGTACAGGTTCTTTTAGGGGTGTCAGTGGTTTCGGATCATCTGATAGGGTTTATTAATTATTTTCTGTTTAACCTCTTGTGTGTATCCAATACGTTCAACGAATACTTCCTGTAGGTGCCGGATTTTAACACGGTGGTTGGTTCTACTGCATAGGTTTTTGATTCTCTTTGGTTGATATGGTGGCTGTTTTGGTGATGTATGGATGGTTTCGTTGAATATAGATGTACTGGTCTGCGTGTGTAGGTTTGCGGTAAACACTGGCTGGTTTTGGTGATTTGCTCATCGCATTTGTCTCGGACATCAAGAAAAGATAGACATTTATTTGTTTCGGTCCCCATAGTGAAGTTGATACGTTGCTGCTGGCTGTTTAGATGGTTTAACAGATCGATTGGGTCGTCTTGGTCTTCCAGTATATCAAACGTATCATCTACTTCTGTTCTTGGGAGGTTAGTGAACATATCCACGACGTCATATAGCATCTTTCCATATCTGTTTAGGTTGTTGAGTTTCATACACAAATCTGCGGTGTCCTTGATGAAGGGGTCTGCGTGCTTGCCTAGGAGGGGGAGCTGCTTGGATGAATACTGAGCAGTGTCGTAGTGGACAGGTGTCTTGTGTATCTTAATACTCGCTCGGGCATATGGTGGTCTTGGATGCGTTGATATCAGATGATGACTAGCGATTTTCTTCTGGTCTTTAAGACTCTTTTGGATATTATAGTGTTTACTGCGTGATCCTCCCGTATTCTTCTGATGTTGTGTTGTCTCCTAATAAATCAACAACTATGCTATGATATTCATCTTTGTTCATTAGCTTTCGCTTTATCTGCTGTGACGATGGGGATGGACTGGTAGTCTTTTACTTTCTTCGTGGTTTGGTGTTGTTTTGTCGAATGGTTGTTCTGAGGTGGTTTTCTATTTTGGAGTATGTTAGCGATTTGTTTACGTAAATAATCTACCCTCCCGATGTCACTTGCTTGAAAACGTTGAGAGAATACTCTTCGAAACGTCGCCCAAATAAATCACTTGCTTGAAAACGTTGAGAGAATACTCTTCGAAACGTCACCCAAATAAATCAGTAATTGTTCTTCCATAAGTATGTGTTATAGTTTATTGCTCTATCCAGTTACTAAATGCCTCTAAAAGATCATTATAAAACTAGAACACTTAGTATGGATACAATCACTTGGTTTATTATACTGCAACGTTTCAATAAAATTGTATAAGTCGTTTTCAAGCAAATACCTACTGTGCACATGGGACATATCATGGGTTAAATATACAATCAACGATATCGTTGATTCAAATGTTATGAAAAATTATTAATTAGGCATTTGTTCACATACCCAAACAAATATCAGCTCTATTAAACATCCTTCGGCAGTGATATTGAATTGGTAAAACACTCGTGTCATTTAATAATTTAAATGGATATCGAGATGCTCTTGTCTAAATTGCAAACAATCAGGGTGGAGTGTCACGTGATCAGTATAATTGGTCCAATTAAAAGAAACCTGAAACCATCTTCGAAAGATGATGTCTTCCTATATTCTATATTTGGGTTATTCGAATTGGGTAGACGTAGAAATATAATTTACACAATTGATGTGGGTATAATTTGGGCTATTAATTGGGTTTTTAGGTGGTGTTTACTGTAATATTAAAATGTAGACATGTATTAAACAACTCAGTATACTTCATATACAGGTACATGTATATAAGACACGTGTGGTCTATATCATACCAATTACACGAGTTTAGTATATAAATATATAAATCAACACGCTCAGTAATTTTATACAGTATCTCTGTGTAAGATATGCATATTATTATAATATTATACTATTGAATACAGTTGACTGAACACATGTGGTATATACTATAACATTTAATATACTTCCTGGTGAACTCCATGAATAAAAGACAAATAGCATATATACTAGTAACATATGTAATACACGGACATAGGTAAAACGGTAGTGTAGTATAAAGGTATATTACGACAACGTCTGTGTAATTTTAAAGAATTATAATTCTCCGTGGTGGTAACTACCGGTGACGTATATAGAATTGAATATAGTAAGTGTCATGTGTTTCTTTTACGTTTATATTCACGAT